GGTAGCGGCTCAGCCCGCAGCCCGTCCCTCGTCACCCCCGGCATCCCCGGCTGCGGGTTTGCCGCCCCTCGGGGGGTGTTTTCCCCCTGCGATGCTCCGGAGCTCTCCTCAGGCGAGGAGCTGGAGGCATTTCCAAACTTTTGCTGCTCCCGGTGAGGTTGCAGCTGGACTGGGCTGGAGGCAGAGCCCAGTTCCCGGGGAGGATAACCCAGGGCTGGGGACAGGGGACAGGGGCCATCCCTGGTGGTGAACACCTGAAAGAGAAGGGCAGACCCTCGTGGCTTCCCTTCCTGCAAGGTGCTGGAGAGTTTCCCTGCCCAAATCCCGGCTGCGGAGTCAGCGCTGCCGAAGCTGCCTCCTTTTCCTCGGTGCATGTGTGTGTGCTGCGTATCGATGCTCCGCGTTGATCAGACATATGCCCTTAAATGATGTACACCGGGAGAAGTGATCTAAACACCGAGCCGCGCGTTGTTTCGCTGGAAATCCACGTTGTTTCGCTGGAAATCTAATACTCCGGCAGCAGCCGAGTTGCTCCCAGACAAACAAACCCGCTTGCTCAGCCCCAGCAGGGCTGTTTGGGTTTGTAGCGGCTGCATGTGGCTGCTCCATCCTGAAATCCTCCTCCCGGGGCTCCATCTGCTCGCTGTGCCGGGAAGGGATGGATGAAGGGATGGATGAAGGGATGCGGGGGTAGGAGCCCCGAGCAGGGCTCGCCCTGATGGGAAGGAGCCTCTGGATCGCGTTGTGGCTCCGCACCTCTCCCGCAAAACTTCCCCACCCCGCTCTGCTTCCCAGCCCTGCTCGCTGCGAACACACCTGACAGCCCACAGCTTCCCTTCGCTGTCGGGAAAAGAGATTTTGGGAAAAGCGAGAGGGGTTTGGGGCTCCCCGGGTTGTGGGGTGAGTGATGCAGAGAGGTTCGGTTCGGAGCGGGACCCCGAGATGCCGGGGGATGCTCTCGATCCGCGGGAACAATGACGGTGCCGGGAGATTTTTACAGCCGATGCAAAGTGCTCGCAGCCTTCTAGGGACTTATCTTGAGCGTGCACAGATATTTCGGAGGGTGGAAAGCGTGCTAACTTATTTTCCTTAGCTGCCCTCTGTTTCAGCCGGGTGTTGTTTGTAGAAACCCGCGAGCGGGGCACGGGGGGCTCGGGCTTGTGTGATTCTAATTTCTGTGATTTTAATTACGGCGTGTGCCTCCCAGCGTGGGATTAGGTGCTTCCTCCCCCCGCCTAAGCCTCTGGCTGGAGGTGCAGGGGATACGAGCAGCGTTTCGCTTGTGTTTTTGTGTTTTTGTTGGGTTTTTTTTTGCCGGGGGAAGTGCGCGTTTGTTTGTTTGTTTGTTTGTGTGGGATCCTTCGCTAAGCCGGGTTTCAAGCGGTGCAACAGATGTGTGTGTGTGTGTTTCTCGTGTGTAGCCAGGTTTAAACACGCAACCTCAGCACCGGCACGAAAATCTGGGCTTTTCTCCCCTCCTTTGCCCAGACCCACCCTCCGTGGGGTGTCTCCTTTCCGAAAGCATCACTCCAAGGCTTCTTCTCTCCCTGTCCCATCCCGAACGTGCGGCGCTCGGCGGTGTCGACACCACCTAAAATAAATGCCAGCCGCATGATCTAAGTGCTGTTTCTGTCCAAGACGGGTGTTTTAGATGCTCAGTCGCGGTGCTGTAGGGAAGCATTTGCTCGAGGATCGCCGGCACTGCTGTCAAACGCGCTGTGCGCGGCTGGGGAGGGATGCTGCGAGCCCAGAGGGACACGCTGAACTTCTCCGCAGGGAGAGCGAATATTTGAGCATTTTCTCAGCGGATTCACCTGCCAGCAGCGCAGAGAGCAGGGAGGGGGTGGGTGAGGCAAAGCCAAGGGCTGAGCAGAGGCAGGAGAGCGGCTGGGCTGAGCTGCGCTGCCGGGAAGGCAGGAGCCGTCTGTGGCCGCTCCATCCCGGGGGGCTCAGCCTTGCCGGAGCCGCTTTCATATCAATTCCTGCACTTTCGCAGCCTGACGAGGGGGAGGAGAGATGCCGGCGCCCCTTTTGTGTTGCATCTTTTTCCTCTTACCGCGCCGCTTTGTCTCTGCCTCCCGATGCCGAGGGGATGCAGTAAAACCAAGCAGTCAAACCGAGCTCCCGCTTGCTGTGCCGGGGCTGGGTTCGTCTGATGAGCCCGGCAGCATCTTACGATGCTCGGGGTTGTGCTGAGGGTTAAAGCCGTGTGGGAATCAGTTTTGTGTGAGGAAGGAGCCCTGAGGAGGATGCTGTGGTGCTCCACGCTGGTCTGACCTAGGGAGGGTGTCAGAGGTGGGGCTGCTGCTGAGTTTCGGAGTTTGCAGTGCCAGAGTTTGGGGCTTGGCACTGCCCACATGTGTTTGGGAGCGGGATGGCGTGGTGTCCTGGGAGTCATTTGGCTGCTCTTGATCTATTTATTATTTATAACCTCTCTAAAGCGGGGTCCCACATAGCTGAGACTCCAAAGTCTCATGTGCTGCCCATGAGGGAGCTGTCCATGTGCTCCCTCCCCAGCCAGGGATGCGTTTTTTGACTGGGGATGTGACTGCTCCCCCCAGCAAAGCCCTCCAACTGCTTCATGCTCTAACACAAAGCATCTGGGGACCCTTTCTGGCTCTCTGGAAGGCTTCAGAGGGCTCTTTCTCACTCCTTCCTTCTGGCTGGAAGGGACAGCAGCTCCAGGCGCCCAAGGCAAGGAGACTTCCCGTCTGTGCAGAGAGTCCAGTGCCTTCCTGCAGGGCATCAGTGATGAGCGTGCTTCCCTGCCCGCCTGTCTTCCTCTGAAAAGTGCTTTATATCCCTCAGCTTTGAGCTCTCAAGGAGCCTGCGACAAAAAGAAGGAAAAAAAAAAAATTACGTAGTGCTGCCCACATGTTTTTCACTCAGGCTCTGAGTGGTTTTAAAACAGAGCCATTCACTCAATTCCCGTGGTGTGGATAGGGAAACTGAGGCACAGGGTTTTAGAACAGAACCATTCACTCAATTCCTGTTGTATGGGTAGGGAAACTGAGGCACATGTTTTAAAACATAACCATCACTCAATTCCTGTGGTGTGGATAAGGAAACTGAGGCACAGGGTTTAAAACATAACCATCTACTCAATTCCCATGGTGTGAATAGGGAAACTGAGGCACAGGGTTTTAAAACAGAACCATCTATTCCATTCCCATGGTGTGAATAGGGAAACTGAGGCAGAGGGTTTAAAACAGAACCACTTACTCAGTTCCTGTGGTGTGGATAGGGAAATTGAGGCACAGGGGTTTAAAACAACCACTCACTCCATTCCCATGGTGTGGATAGGGAAATTGAGGCATGGGAGTTTAAAACATACCCATTCACTCAATTCTCATGCTGTGGATAGGGAAACTGAGGCACAGGGTTTTAAAACATCACCATTCACTCAGTTCCTCTGGTGTGGATAGGGAAACTGAGGCACAGGGTTTAAAACATAACCATTTACTCCATTCCTGTGTTATGGATAGGGAAACTGAGGCATGGGGTTTTAAAACATAATCATTCACTCAGTTTCTGAGTAGTTGGGAAACTGAGGCACAGGGTTTTAAAACTTAACCATTCACTCAATTCTTGTGCTGTGAATAGGAAAACTGAGGCACAGGGTTTAAAACATAACCACTCACTCAATTCCCATGGTGTGGATAGGGAAACTGAGGCACGGGGTTTAAAACATCACCATTCACTCAATTTCTGTGGTGTGAATAGGAAAACTGAGGCATGGGGTTTTAAAACATAATCATTCACTCGATTTCTGAGCAATTGGAAACTGAGGCACAGGTTTTTAAAACAGAACCGTCCACTCATTTCCTGAGTGATTGGG